TTTGATCCGTTTGATTAATGAACAGGAATGTTCAAAAAGGTGGCAGGAGCACACCTAGAAATGAGGAAAGGGGCTGTCATAGACTATCACAGACAATCACTTTTTCTCAGTAACACTTCAGTCTTGCTTATATTTTAGTTTCACTTCTGTAATTGTACTACTAGAGCACATGCTATAAACAGCTCATGAATTTCATGGATGCCAAATACTATTTGTTTTGACTTTAATCATGTGCCCTATCCTGTCTCAATAGATATAAATGATGCCAATATGGAAATTATAACACAGACATGTTATCACTACCACGTAATATTTTTAAGTACCCTACATAGTCAAATTTATGCTAATACATTTTGTACAATTTTGACTAAGTTTCCTGTTTCCCTTCTCCTGTCCAACTGCACCTAAACATACAAGTACACCTAGCCTTTCTGTACATACAAGTCTTGTCGCCTCCTGCTGTCTTCCTTATTTCCTGTAAAAGAATCCCTAATAGTAATGTGAGATAAAGATGAAGGCAAGCAGTAGGAAGTTCTCATGGCAGACAAAAAATAAATCCATCACCAACAATAGCAAAGCAAATCCCTGTGGAAATAATCCGTCCTGTTATCACTGACTGCTGTTACAGGGATGACAGCGAGAGCCAGCATAAGAGACACTGGGCTGTCTCCCTCTTTAATCAGTTCCCTGCTATGACTTTTAGGTGTTGGGGAAAGGGAAGAAGAACTGCATGTAGCAAATGCCACGTTTTGTCAGGAAGGCTGCAGAAAGTCTTTTCCCTGTGGAACTCATTAAACTGAAGCTGCTGTATGTGTATCAGTAAGAACCAATTTTGACTGTCACAAGGAAGTAGGTGCAAAAGACTTCCAAGGCATGAAAGAGCAATAGCCTGCAGCTATTGAAGAGACAGGTATAGATAGGATTTCAAGTAGTCTGGTATTTCAAGCCTAGAACAACACAAGTCAGCAGAAGTGGCAGGAAGTTTCCTACAATTAGTACTATGTCTTCTACACAATGGGCTGACGTTTATTATCCAGGTCATTTGAAAATAATAAACTTAGAACAAAAAAATGGACAGTGTCCAAAGTCAGCAGAGTCACAACGAAAACAGGCCAATAAAAACAAAAATGCAGAGGAAGAAAACTGGGAATTTTTCTATAGTTCTTTTAACTTGAGAACTGAGATAAGCTCTAGAAGCTGCTGAATTCTGATTGTTTATGGGAAATTACTGAATTTTGGATGTCTTCTGTGTATGTTTAATAACATTGCTCACAGCCTTGACCTTATGCATTGCTCACTGCGCATAGTCAGGAAAAATCAGTGAAAGTATTTGTGGACTTCAAGAAATTTTTCAATCCTTTCTGAAGTCCATTATACTTTCAAGAATTGAAGAGGAAAAGGTTAATTGTCAGGCTAGAGATAGATCTCCTCTCTCAATAAAACTCATCAATTGACCAGTGAGCTTGTAGGCCCATCATAACTTTTTCAGCTATCTTGAAAGACTGACAAAAATTATTCCTTGAGGGTACTGACTTTAAAGGTTACTTCTCTCCTACTTGAAAAGAATATTGTAATTCTTATTTTAAGACATCTTATGCTATTCCTATTCTACTAGCCCTAAAAAGTGAATTCCTAAGTGCCTTTAACTTTCATTTATCCCTCCATTTGGTATACAGAAAGGATGGAAAACTTACCTAATTTTAAGTTTTACCTCTATGGAAATCAAGCTTCTATTAGTTTTTCTTTCTCTCTGTATTTTAGATTCTTGGCCAATTCTAGCATACGAAATTCTGACATATGTGGACAAGTTGAGGGAGCTGTATTTGCTCAGCCTTTAAAAGAAATGGCTGTAGGGAGTACGGAGGGATGTAACAGCAGTCTCTCTCTACCTGAATAGGATGGGCTGGAAAAAACATCAGAGTCAGACTTCTCAGAGGAACGCAACAGAGGACAGGACAAAAAAGGTATGTCAGAATGTGTAAAAAAGAAGCACATACACATCCACCCTCTCTTGAGGGTAATTCAGCTCAGGAACACATGTCCAGAAGGGCTAGGGAATCTTCCATCCTAGACATGTTCAGAACTTGCTTGGACAAGGCCAGGGACAATCTGATCTAGAGTTGGAATGAACCCTGCTGTGAGCAAGGCTTTGGATTAGAGACCATTAGAGGCCCATGCAACTTACAATTTTTTTCTGAGTCTCATGGTACACACATACCATACAGACATCTACCCTATTACTCACTTAAGTGAGTAGAGTTTTTTCTTCCTTTTGAGGGAAGATCTCCAGTAAGGCTGGTACACTCCTTGCTTTGGGCACTGTGCACTGCAGGAGATCTTCAGTAATTGACATGCCAAGCTTAATTACTGCAGGGGCAGAAAAAAATCATCTACTTTAGTTGCTTTATGGGTGTCTCAGATAAAGCAGTAATAAAGCAGTAAAATAATAAAGTATATTATATATATATACATATATAAATTAGTAGTCATACAATAAATGGGTGTACAGTTGTACAATTAATAGGCGTACAGAGGTTAGGCTTAGTAAGCTTATCATGGTGGAAAAATAATAAAAATAAATGGAAACATATCATAGGCTCACAGTAAACTCCACAAGGAGCAATCTCCAGAAAGAGATCCTTCCTCAGTGCCAGTCAGTACTTAAATGGGGTCTAAGAGAGGTGCAGCCAGGCTGCACCCCTTCGGTTAACACAGGTGAATTGCCTTCACCTTCATATATAGTATATATGTATATACTATATATATACTTTATATAGTACTATATTAGTATTATAATAGTATTTGCCATTATAAATAATAAATAAAATGACATTTGCACAGAGAGAGAATGAGAGTGTGAAGTCACCAGAAGAAATAGAAGAGCAGGACTTGGAAGAAAGTTATATATTCATGGAGTCAAAACCAAGAACAGAGCTGAATCTCAAGAGATGCTACATAGAACAGGAAGAACTTTGCAGGCATTGTATAAGTTTCCAGTTCCATGCTGGAGATAAGGTTATAACACATGTCAAATGAAATTGTGATTAACATCAGCTTGTCCCCGTGCCTTTGTTGCTCACAGGCAATATAAAGGGTGCAAAGATCACGAGGTGTTGCTGCTAATTATAAGGAATCCAGAAAACATGTTGAAGACATAAAAGCAAGACCTTTGTGGCAAGACCACTTGGACACACATTTCATACCTAATTTTGCCACACTGATCACTACAATCCTGTCCTCTTTTGACCTATAGTCTTGAGTGCAGGGGAACATGATCAGTGTACTATATCAGCTGCTGCTGCACATTCAGATCTTCTTGGAAGTGCATTAACACCTTTAGCATCTGTGTTCTGATACTAGGTCTGCAATGTCAATTTTATGAGAAGGCCTTCCTCAGCAGTATCAGTCCTATGGAGTGTCTGGCCTTAACTATGAATTTTACTTCCACCCTGTACTGAAGAGCTACACTAGATATGAGAGGCAGATATCATCAGAAAAGCAGGAAGTCATCACTTCCTGGTGGAGTTGATACCTGGTACCATCTACAACTACTCAATAATATATCTTTCACCTTACATCCAAATGGAGGAGATCAGGTGGAGCCACTGCTGCTCAGACAGCATCTGCATTGTACACTGGCACATCTCACAGACACTGGGTTGTTGTCCATCCCAGACAATCATCTATTCTCTGTGAGGGCTGTTGACATCTCACTGGCCTACTGCCCATTTTAAAATGGACATTGTAGTGCCTGTGGGAAGACCATGAGAAACTTCAGTCTGGAAAGCATACTGTCAGATGATACACTGTTCTGGAATTAGCAGTGTCAATCCCACAATTTTAAAGATTCAGTAGCAAAATATCATCAGCTAACAACTGTTAATTCTCTTTAGACAAAATCCATTTACAACAGATCCAAGCACACAGACCTGGAGAAGTGGGGAGAAAGAGAGAATGCTATACTCACAGAAAGGGGTTGTGTTGGAAATAAAAGCTCTTTGTGAGAGGACAGAAAATCATTGGGAAAGGATTTGGAAAGGATGTGGTATAGCATCTCAGGGTGTTTTGTGAACACATTATACTAAAATCACGATACATACTTACTGTGATGATGTCAGGTTTTTTAAGGTATTTGAAGTTAGGTGGTTGAACAGAATATAAACACACAAGGCTTTAGGAAACAGCACATCAAGAGATAATAAGCAAGTTATACACAGTGAGAATCTTGCTACCAACTGAGCAAATATGAACGCCCTTTCTTTCCTAGGACCAGCACTTTGGAATGAAAGAGTAATTCAGTAACTGCCTGTCCCTTGGGGTTCTGTTTCCTAAGATCCTTCCAAGATAGAAGAATGGGTCAGAGCACACAAAAACTGACCCAAATGGGTCCTTTAGGTAGTTGCTGGTAGTGCCTCACAAACTTAAACTGTCCTGACTTATGCTTCAAGAATGGTTTTTCTTTGATACAGTTGCACCTGTGGGTAACTTCATAGCCCACTAGTTAGTATTAGAGCAGTGATGGAATAAGGATGACAATAAGGATGGCTCAGGATTAGTGATTGAGGGTGAAAGATACCTAACTCTTGCAGACATTGACTATGAGCTTGTGGTAAAGAGCTATTAGTCAGGTTGCAATATCCCACATTAATTGAGCTGTAACCAGTAAATGCTGCCTGTCACACTGTGCACCTGATTAATCACAAGCCAATAATGCAAAAGACCTTGAACTTCCCAGTCTCCCTTATTCTCACTTTTCCAGACAGTTTCAATGTCTGGTCATTTACCTTTTGATATAAGATCAGTATGCATAAAGGTACATACAGAAAGTTAGAGATATAATATAAGTTAAAAGAAAAAAAAAGAAACTCTTTAGGGGTCACAGGAGTAAGAGTAGTCCTGACAGCCTTTGGAAGGCAGAGAAGAGGCAGTCTTGAAAAGAGAGGACATACAGTAGTTCAAGATTTTTTTAGTGCTGGCTGAAACCTTCACAGATTACTTACAATTGTGAGTGGCATAAAAGGATAACCATGTTCTCCTTCCTGCACTAGTTCTGCTGTGTCTGGCCTTAGCATTCTGGAAGGTAAATTGATAGAAAAACATTCATGATTTTATGTGGTTAACTTCCCTGTGTCGTGCTCTAAATGAGTTCACCACGGGTCAGGGAAGCAGCATTCAAAATGTCCTGCATGTGCCAGTCAATAGATCATCTCAGTTATAATGTATACCCTCAAAGGAAGAATTAACACACATACTTAGGCAAGAGGAGAACTTTACTTAGCTCTTGCTTAACCTTCCCAGTGGAAAGATTTTAGTATCTATGGAATAGATATGGTATATGTGTGACTCGCCACTGTTAAGACTAATTGGTGTCACTTCAGTCTCAACTTGAGGGTCAAATCTGAGGGTTTACAAAGAAGGTTCTTAATCACTGGTAATGTTTTTAAGCACGAGACAGTATTCTTGAACAGTGCTTCCTTATCAATGTAGAAGAGAACATACTGCCTGTAATTTACCTATTTTCAAAGCTGCAAGTGGTTGCTTGCTTTGCAAAGATACAGGTTCCACACATGCGCTGTGCAACAAATACAGTGAAGGTGCCATGTATTCTAATCTACTCTTAATGCCCATGGATAACAGTCAAATATTAATGAAACTTTTATAAATATTTTGTGGAAATGAATGACTTTCAATCACAACAGACACTTGGTTCCTTTAAGGGCACATAAGAATCAACTAATTCACCAGGCTGGAGCAACAAATGTTGTACAGATAGATGGTTCAGTATTAACAATATAAGCAAATCTGTTAACCTAGTAATATCCTTAGTAGCGTCCACAGATTGAACTGCGTGTTGCAGTAACAGCTTACGGAAAATCTTTGCCACTCCTGTGTTCAACTTATATCACCTGCAGCATTATGAAACACAAAAGATAATATGCTATCACAGCAGTGAAATTTGGGTTCCCAGGTTACTTGATAGTTAATCACTATGTGATTGGTAAGCTTCTAAGTGGTAAATGAAAACAGTTTAGGTAAGCAGATTCAGATAAGGTAGCATTCAACATGAATAGTCTATGCCTGTCCTCTCTGCATTAACACCACAGAGTTATTGTTGCATCATGCAGGTATTTGGAAGATGTTCTGTCAATACTAACAGTAGAAACTTCAGTAGCAGCTTCTTGCAGCTTCAATAAATCAAACATTAACACTAACACGTTTATTCTGTCTACCTGCAGTTTTTGTACAAATCATGCAAGTTGTCTGCTGTGATTTGTACAGATTCACAGCTGTAGCCAAGGATTTTGTACTTGCTTTGCGATATTAAGGCATTATTTCTCATATACTATACCTTGTGTGCCACCTGCTGTACAACTTGGGCAGAAATCTCTGTATTCCAGTTTCTGCCACTCCCAACCAGTGTTTACAGTTTTGCTAGCAGCAGGCCTAACTTTCTGAAATATCAGGAATGCTAGTGAAAGTGGATTTTACCTTTGCCCCCCAGATTAGTCTGGAATACTTTAACCTGCTATGCTGCCAAATTACCATGTAAACATTAGCTATCAAGATAACAACATGTAAAAAACTTGTAGCACACAGCTATCCATCCTACTTAGATTTCAAATACATGCGGGATGCCTTATGTCATTTACACGCAGGCAGGTTATTTCACTTTTGCTAGCACAAAATCAGTGGCAAGGATTAGACTGGTCAGCATCCTGACAGCTCATGACATTTTTTTCTTGGGCTGCAGGTCTATGCGGCTCTTGGAAAAGCTTAAATTATATAGCACTATAAGCAAGGAATGCATAGCCTGTGAGAAGAGGATGAAGGAGCTGTGTTTTTTCACCCAAGAGCAGAGGTGAAGCTGTCTGACAGTACAGAGGAGATGAAGCCAGACTCTACTGAGACAAGCACAGGGAATGCACAAGAGATAAAAGAGGTAACAGCCATGGCTTTCAACAAGGGAAAGATCTGTGACTAAGGAGTTGGACTGGATACTGCAAGAGGCTCCTTCTCATCTTAAATCTATGGGGTTTTTTTTGTGGTTTTTTTTTTTTTTTTTTTTTTTTTTTTTTTGAGATAAAAATGAAATACTGGCAGACAAACAAATTATTAATAGAATTGTAAATACCAGCTCTGCTAGCCATATAAATTCTTCAGGTAGCTGTTAGATCTCACAGCAGAGCTTACAGCCACAGCAAAATATATGCCAATTTCCTATTCCCATGTTTTAAACAGCTAAGGCAGATATGAACACCTCTCCCATGCAGTGATAGACAGAGTACTGCTTTGTTGTTTGTGGGAGAGATTCAAGTGGGCTGGATAGTGCAGCTATCCTCACAATGCCTCGTGATCTGTCTTTAGGGCCTAGCATTGTAGTGAAGTAAATCTACACTCAGACCAACTTGTGCAGAATCAGTGAATACCATGTGTATTCCAGCTTAGTAAAGTTTTAAAAATTAAGCCATTATTTTAAGAAAAAGCTGGCTTTACAAGGCCCACTTTAATTTTTGTCTTTCTTAGCCGTCCTCCTGGGACGTCACAGTGGAAACGTGATTACTTGCAGGGCTTCTGAAACTAGCAATGGATAAGCAAAAAGCAAGCCCTTAACTTCAGCAGATACTAAATACCAGTTTCACTTACAGAAAGCCAGCAAATGGATTTATAGCATCTGTCAATCTCAGCAGAGGCTACTCTGTAAGGCAACAAGTACTTCCAGTATACAAGAGGTGACTCCCTCCCAGACCTTGCCAAGAATGAATACGAGAAGCCAAAAATTACTCCCTAATTACAGTAAGAGATGATCCTTAAATGCCTGCACTTTCAATCACACAGCAAGTAACTGAAAACTTCCTTTTTTCCTTTTCTAATATAATTGTCAGGAGCCTATGTCTTGCCCTGTAGAGTATAAACCTGTATTCATCTGCCTCATTTGCCATCTCTAGCTTTAGAATTAGCAGTATGTACAGCAGAATCTGCATAAATCTCATGACCTCATTTGTCCAGACTCCTCGTCCTTCTAATATTACTTTGTGTATGATCGATAATAACTTCAAAAAAAAAAAAAAGAGGAGGAGGGACTGCCAAGGATCCCCCATGCCTTGGGACAGCACAGGGGAATAATCACATGGGATATTTTTGGAACAGATGGCAGTGACCTGACGAAGGCACAGAAAAAAAACACAGCTGTGAAACCTAACACTTGGCTTCATGTACAGAGAGCAGAAGCATCAGAGAAACAAACAGGAGATGCAGCAGAAGACGAGTAAGAGAAAGGTATTTGAGGATAACAAGAGAATCATGAAAGAGTAAATGACAGAGGTAACAAAAGACACAGAAAATAAATGTCTTAAAAAGAACATGGTAGAGAAACAAAAGACAGCTGGTATATAAGAAACTGAATAAAGTGGCCATGTTATATAAATAAGCCAAGATGCTTTTACCACAGAAGGGTCTGAAGGGCAAGAAACGGCCGGCTGACTCATCAGATCTCTTATTTAGGTGATTTGTGACCTCAAAGGCTAACCAGCAATAGCTTCGTCTACCATCTCACCTCTTCCCAAGGTACAAAGACTTTATAAGCAACTTCAATACTGGATTGTGACAGTGCAGTAGATTTTCTACAACAGAAAAACAGCAATCATTCCTGCAGTCTTTAAAGCCAGGCAATGACCTACCCTTTCTTTGACTAAATGCCAGTGTACCCAGAGAGCAGTGACTTTTATTTATGAAAAAGTTTGTAGCATTAGTTTGGCATTGACCTTATGCGCTCTGCTATTCTTCCTTCACTAGGTAAGAAAAAAATAACATGACTAACAATATGGAGTGAACAGTGATAATGACGATGCTTGATAGGAGCATGTTCCCAAAGTTAGTATTTTAAGGCATAAATTGCTAAGACATTCAGATCTCAAAAGTATCTGGGATCCATTCGAGACACCTTCATCCAGAATTGCAATGTCATATTCACTTGCTACCAAATCATTATAACTGATCTTCATTTCTCTTGTTTTGAGAAATATTTCATTCTTCGTCAAGGTTAGTGATTCAGCACCTACCTATCACTAAAGCCTGATTAGATCCAGTAATTATCTGCTTGATACCTATCTTGAATTCAACTAAAGAGCAAAATGTTTTGAGTTTAACCATGCAGACACTTGAAGGATCAAACAACTACCATTTGCTACAAATTCCTGTCCTGTTCAGAATCTATGCTCTCACTGGCAAATATTTGAAACAAATTTATGAGTAAATGAAGACCATGGAATACATTGACTTGCTTTCTTTCCTGAATAACTGCTTAATAACCTGTATATAATCTGCCAATGAAGACTTGCCTTTTACCAAATTATATGGATTATACTCTTCAAATTAAGAAGATCTAATGCTAGTCATCTCTTCCCGCAAGCCTGCAGGAAAACTGGCACTGACTCTGACTAGTCTAGTTCTAAATTAAATAAAAAAGTGAAATGTCTAAGGACTCACGAGTTTGTTACAGCTTTAGAAGAAGTATAGCTTTTGCATCTTTCACAAACTTGTTCTTTCTACTACCACTTTTGTTCAATTTTGTTGCATTTCCTTACAGTTTAGTACTGCATGCAATTTGATCAGCTCAGCAACCAACTCAGTACAATTTTTCATCTCAGAACTTGTTCTCCTTCCAGAAATCTTACAACATTCTATCCTGTGTGTATGGGAACTGTTGATCATGGCCTGAACCTGATTGACCACCTGAGGCAGAGTCAGCCACAGGAGCACAGGTGAAGGCAATTCACCTGTGTTACCCCAAGGGGTGCAGCCTGGCTGCACCTCTCCTAGACCCCATTTAAGTGCTGACTGGCACTGAGGAAGGATCTCTTTCTGGAGATTGCTCCTTGTGGAGTTTACTGTCTTTACATACTGCCTATGGCACTAGTAAGCATTTCCATTTATTTTTATTATTTTTCCACCATGATAAGCTTACTAAGCCTAACCTCTGTATACCTACTAATTGTACAGTTGACCTATTGATTGTACACTGTGCAAACAGACCAATGAAATCAGATTATGTTGTGCATTAGGCCCACAGTCTCAGTGTTCTAGTACTAACGTAACTTAGTCCTGACGCTGTGGATGCTACTTTAGATTGGTCTACAGAAACGCAGAACAACAGACATGAAATATTTTATAGTTCAGACCTTCCACTGAAATGAATGACTCTTTCAGCAACATCAGTACTTGCCAATTGATAAGAAGCACTTTCAGTTGAGCAAGAGGTCATGAGGTTGGGTACTTGTGTTGTGTCTATGTAGGTCACTGAGAAACTTATATTCATTATGTAACTCAGGATTTGAAGTCAAGCAGTCAGTCATACAAGGCCTTAGGGTCACTCTACAGATCATAAAATTCTTCACTTGCATGTATTAGTTGATGTACAGGAGAAGTACTCTCTCTGCCTTTACCTTCTGTTCCCACAAGCAACTGTACAATTTGCTTAGTAAACCAATTGTGACATCTTCTACAAAGAAGACCTTTATGTTTTTTTTTGTAGTAGCTCAAAGATATTCATGTTTTCCATACCTCCTATATAGTCTTGTCTACAAACATGGCTATGAAATCTTTGCATGCTCTGACACAAACAGGCCACCACTATATGTTTTCAGAGGCTGGGATTCCACTCATGCTGTTCAGTAGGCAATCTGCAGTATTTGATGCAAATTCTTATTTAAAATATCAGATAAAGTGGTTTCTTAGACGCAGTACAAATTTCTTCCTCAGCTTGTTCAGAGAAGTCTGAGGAATCATGAGGTGATTAAATGAATCTTAGTTCTCAAAGTTGAGATACTTAGATCAGGAAGTGAAGCAACAATCTCCAAATAAATATCCTTAAAACAAAGCAGTGCAAAACCTCGCTAAGATTTGCCTAAAAGATGCCAATAAGAGCATACTCTAGTAGCATGCATTAACATCCAGCAGGGCAGAATTCTATCTCTTCTGAAAGCTGTAATAAAGTAGTGAGAAGTCTGTCCAAGAAAAGCAAACCAATTCACAACAAGCAACTGCCTTTCCATGCAGCTCTGCAGATTGGTTGTCCCTACAAACTCAGCCCTGACTCTTTCTAGCACATTCTTCCTAATCTAGTGAATTCAGTGACAAAATTTTTTCATTCATGGGGATTAAAGATGATTTCCATTTTCTTAATGATAAAAAGAGAAAATGGCCTCATTCTGTCTTAGAGGAAGGCAGTTCTGGGGCATGTGCTCATGCAGAATTTTCACAAATTTTTCCTAATACAAGCAGGGAAGGATATTTGTAGGCAAGAAAAGCTTTTACCCCTTCAGAAGAGAACAAATTACAATGTAGGAAACGCTCTGTCCTTCTGCAGGTATTGTACTCACCAGAGTTTGTTGGTATCGCAATACTTTTGTTGGAGAGGCCTCCCTAGTCATATCCCCAGAGACAACCTTTGTGGAGCAAGGGATGTTCAGGGCAACGTCTTCCCTTCTGCTCTCCACTGCAAAATCATGGAGTGAAGCAGACACAAGGCTTCAGCTAAAATCCCACAGTGCACCCTGGGAGAGAAGGTTACTGGTGAGGGAAAGACAGAGTAGGGAGAGTGTAACCAGAGACTCCCAACCCCTCCTGTTCAATCTGTGCTTGGAAATGGCAGGCGCTTCCCTGCTTTAATCTCCCTCTGCTGCCCTGGCACTGGGACAGCTTAGTAAATTAACAGGAGGTAAGGTTTCCCTTTCCTTTCTCAGGCAGTATTACTCTTCTCTGCATTTAGAAGGGATCTAAAGTGGGACCATAGAAAGAATGGGGGCTAATGACAGAAAGAGACTTTGGAAGAAAGAGGATGGAAATAAAAAAAAATGAACAAAGTTAGGGACAAAAAAAATCTTCCTGCAACCTGAGCAAAATTATTCTACAACTTATTTCGGAGGCAACTTTGAGAAGAGTCATCATCTGAGAAGGCTACTTCTCCCAGCAGTACTTTGAAGACTATTCCTTACATGATTACATGATGTCCTCAACATTTAACACAATTTGACTTCAAGTATACGCATTGTTGCTGACTTCTGGGCCACAGTATCTCACCACATATAAACCATCTTCCTCCCAGTATTCCTACCTCCAAGAATCGTCATTCATTGATATTACCAGCACTTAGTATCATTTCAACTATTCAAATTCTCTTCCCCATTTTCATTCTAAAATTTACCACTCACAGAGGCCACCTCTCCCACCTAATTGCCAAAACCTCCCCACTTAAGCTCAAAACAACAGGTTGCTGCTCTTTCCACAGACACCTGCTGCTTCTTTACCTCTGCTATCTGTCAAGCTTTTCATGGAAATTCTAATACTGGGCTGCAGTACTGGACATACAGGGATCTCATGTTGGTATTTGAGGGATTCTTGAATGTCATCGTGAATCTAGAAAGGGCATGCAAGCCCTTGCACTGCTTTCTTCAATCCTTACCAGCCACAAGGACAAAAGGGAACTTTACTGTCTCTACTTCACACTTTATGAGGCCTGATAATATTGAAACTAGGTACAGGATGAAGAAAACTCTGACTTCATTGTGATGTTAGAAAAAATTCTTTGAGTAAAACTGGCAATAGCAGCAATGGTAGGCCAAATAACATTGTGTATGATCCAGTCCTTGTTCCTAGTGAAAGTTAGCTTCTCCAAGACTAATCCTGGAACTTGATGATTTATAATTTCATTCTTTTCCCTTTAAAGAATGACACTTTCTGTATGTAAACTCTGATGACATCATTGCTTTGTAATGAAGATGATCAATTACATAACAATATTTTCTTTTGCTTGTATTTCAATTTAGTAATTTAGTGATATGATACAGAGAATGTTTTTTACCTGTCTTCAGGGTATGAGCCTGTTGCCCTCTGCAACACAGACAATGTATGTTAGGAATCTCAACCTGGTACGTATTTTATTTTACAAGCTGTTCTACAGATTTTCATCCAAATCTTTTGATGTTTTGAAAATTATGCTTTTTTAAAAGACTATTCTGTACATCCTAATTTTGAAGAAGAGATCAATAATTATTTTTACAGTCAGACTCTTTGAGTATCTATCATTTTTTTATATAAGAGCAAATGGAAACAAAAACACTTCACAGTTACTACAACTGTATTCCTATAATGAATTGCTCCACTAATTAAAATGGTTGTTATGTAAATCAGATTTGTAACTACATCTTGTGAATATCCCATTCACTGTTTTCACTCCTCTTTCAACAAAACAAAAAACATTTTTGACCTTATTCTTTTGGTTTTGAGCCAAAATATGAACAACACAAAACTTTCTTGCTAATCCCACTATTAAAGGCATTAATTAAACTGTGTCAGTAGCTTAAATTTACTTATCTAAAAATACAAACATCTTTTATATTACTAGTAACAGTTTCAGCACAGATAGGTTTTCCACTGAACACTGCTAGAATTCTTGTACCAGCACTAGGTACTATTGAAAAACCAGTATACTTTTTTTCATGAAAAGAGATGTCACAGCTGAGAGTAAAAAACAGCTCCTAGTGGATCTGAATACTGGGATTTATTCTGGAAGTAATGAGAACAGAACTTTTATTTTCTTATCTCACACACTCACTGGCTTCCACCCTGCATCACACAGGTACATTATCTCAATTCCCAGAAGTGATCTCACTGCTGATTTCTAAAGGTGGGCCAGCTGCACAGCTGCTTGTAGTAACCTGTCTTGGACACAACAGGTCAAGGTCTCTCATAATAGTTTCCCTGTAGCAATCTGATCCCCCTCATCTTCCCCCACATTCATCTCCTTTCTGGGTCCTTCCCCCCACAAGCAGCCCATACGAGTTCCAGCTAGCAAGCAGCAGAATTCTGCCCAAGAGTTCAAAAGTGCCTCAGGGAGCTATTACCTTCAGAAATTATGCAACATTCTCCTTATAGAAGTTCTATTTCTACACAGATGTATAATCCTCCAAATGGATGATACTGCACAGATTAATCAAACAAGAATTCTTTATTTTGACACCTCCAGGCAGTAAAATACAAGTATATAAAAAGTAAATACCAAAGTGGCAGTGGTAATGCAAGCTGATGCAATCCTACTGAAATCTGATCTTTCAGAGCAGTCTACTTCATCAATCTACACATCTGTAAAATATTGCACCATTTCAAAGAGGGAGCACTGGGGTAGGAAGTATCTGTACTCCAGGGAGGTACAACAACCTCAACAGTGGTTTCTTCAGAGTAAGGCAACAATTGGCAGGAATGTTTTTTTGTTTTATTTATCGCATGCTGTGTGTTAGATAAGTGCAAGATGTATTTTAATGTTGCACCTTTGTCAGCTGGAGAAAACACAGCCTTAATTTTCCTGTGCAGAACAATAGAAAAGCACATACCTAGTTTTCCAGCCTCCCTCCACATCCCTTTGTGCTTCCTATTCATAATTCTATCCTGGAAGAAAGATAAAAAAAAAAAACAAACGCACTTACACATTAAGAGTACTATGCTGCCTTATTGCTGTAGAATGAAGACAGGAACTCCAGTATACAGATGATAGCCCATACACAATCTAGCATATCAGAACTTAGGCTACCACAGAAGAGAACAATGCCCATATCCCCGCACCACATCACACGGGGGTAACTGCAACTTGGAAGAGCTAAGTATGAAGAGAATGCACGTGAACTTTCCAGACAAAGTGATGGATTATGCCACAACATTACTGATAGATCAGTCAAAATGACCTTTAGCAAACAAAATTAGCTGAACAGACAGCTTTAAGTGATCATGGCTAAAGAAAGAAAACTCACCACATATCAGAGTAATAACGTGAAACTCTTCTCTTTTAAATGAAAGAGAAACAGACTGACAGTGAAAAATAATCCAAGCAGCATGCTTGGTCTATAAAGAACTGCCTTGAATATTTTCCTTAAACAGAAGATATAGGAGCCCTTTCTACAGGGTTGCAGGATTTCAGTCATACAGTACAACTTATAGACTCTTGAAAAGTTGGTGAAGTGTCTGAATACTGTGCCTGTTCTGACACACAGATACTACAGCAAACAAATATAAAAAATAATGTTCTATACAGTTGTTCACTCCTAGACTAAGGGGAGCTAATCCAGAATTGCCTGATTCAAAACTGTTTCAGGTGCATTTAAATGATGCCATTGATCTCTGCGAGAAACACTGAATTTCCATTTGTTTTTCTGATAATCTGGGATGTCTTGCAGCTCCCTTGATAACTCGGCTACAGAAAAAAATGCGCAAAAATAGACTTCAGGTGATCAAGATGGACTGTAAATGTCAACTACTTAAAACAATATCCTGTTTTAGAGAGCAGGATTCTCCTTCACTGTGCACAGGATCTGACATGCATGAAGAACTGGGCAAGAAGAAGTTAAAAAAAATAAGAGCATAAAATAAGTAGCATTTTATGAATCATTTGCCTCTCAGAAAGGCTTATCTCTTCCAAAATTTGTATAGATAGTCTATTTCTCTTTTCACATTCACATTTCTAAGAAATGTCCTTACGCCTCTTTCCAAAGGATATTCTCAATTTTCACTATCAGTTATAGTGCTGATCTCTTTTCACCGATATCCATACATACGAAATAAATCAGATATTAGTATTTTAATCCCTGAATTGAATCAGATTAGGATGAGCTGCCACTTTATTTTAGTAAAAGACAACAAGAACTGGACTGGCTAAACATGAAATAGCACTCCTTGCTTGGCATCTGCTGTCACGCCTGTGAGAACAGAAATGTACACATCCATACTCAGTTCAGCTTTGGCAGTATCTCTCTTCCAGTGGAGCTGGTAGGGTTATTTTCCTGGCACATAACCAGGAAATAGGTACAGGTCCCGACAGAGAGTACTACAGTATTCTGACATTTCCTTGCAGCGGTGGAATTCTGTGCCTGGGGCATAACCTTCTCGTTGCTTGATTTGTCTATTCACCTAAATGTAAGATTAAAAAAGTAAAAAGATTCAAAGAGTTAAGAAGACAAAGTGTCATTGCTTTTCTTACTCAAAAATTATTGTTTATCTTATTAATTAATTACCAATATACTGCCTTTCTAAACTACAGGAGGAATAAAGAAACTAATGCGAAGCTCTAGCTACTGTGAGCACACTGCAGTCTTCACTCTCCTCTCATTTCCTTAATTTTCCCCTCATGTGAGTACAAGTGCTTGTGCTGTTACATACTGAGCCAGTTCAGGCTGAATCCACCTGGAAAAATAAACTATTTCTATACTAGAAAAGTGATGCTTGGCAAGTTAGATTAATCTCCTAAACTCACAACATGGCCCACACAAACGCAATGGAAGGAGCCAAAGAAACCTAGCATTTTGTCATGGTTTTATGGTTTTTGGTTATTGGTATTGCACATCATAATATCATGTAGTACACCTCGAGTTAAAGTGTTAATGCTCCAGATACCTGCCCCAGAAGACAAGAATAGCTACATTCCCCAGAAGGCTGTTTGCTGTGTTGCTATCATTTCAGCTCAAGGGGAGCAGATATAAGGCTTTGGTAGGTCATCTGACCTCTCTCTTCTTTGCCAGGCTCTCCTCCCTGCTGCCCAACCAGACTGTGCATCTCACCTCAGTGTTACGGTGAGGCCTATCCACCTTTTGGACACTCTCTCTCATGATATTCGATTTATCATCTTCAATTCTAATTATACTATAATATAGTGCATTATCTTGCATTCTGATACCATATTTAGTAAATTAGTTTGCTTCTTCTCAGATCATTGCTGCTGTTTTTAACTATTTTGGGGTCCCCTATTTTCCTTTTCCAGAGGCGTGGATTTTGTGAAATCACTCTGCCCTGCTAGTCATGGAACTGGACCAAACCAGCCCATAAACCTTTGACACATTTTTTACTTCTTTTAATGTACTGTGGAACTGTACATAATTATCTATCACTAATTATATCTATTTATGTATCTAAACAAGGAAAGAAGTAATAATTCTGCTACGAATAGAGCAACAACATTTGCTTAAAGAGTCTATTCAACCTAGCAACTTGAAATTGAAGGCTCTTCAGAAACCAGGCAAGTGTGTGAAAGGAAAGGCATTACAGCTGACCTTCACCAACATGTCAGCCACATGAGTGTCTCGGGAGTCCTCTGCAAACACAGTGGTGAGTGCCTCGATATACCAGGATCCACGCTTGGTGTTACGCATGGCTGCAGTGCCTGAGAAGAAAGAGTATGCATGATAAAGTTCCAGGGGAAGTTGGACACACGGAAACTCTTAAGACCCTAAGAATTAATGCTTCATTCCAGTACCTTTCAAACACGCATATCCACAGATCATATCGGAGCACGTAGGCAGACGCAGCTTGAGATTTTCTTCCTTGTTTGCATCACTCTCCTCACAGCCTGGGGAATCTGACCTTTCTTTGCCATCTCTTTGATCCACCCCCCGGTCTGTCTCGTCTGGTGATTAGTGAAGCAAAAAATAAGAGAGGGAGAAAAAAAAAATATTATCCTGAATTACTGTTTTCCTTACTTTTGTGCTCCAGTCAGCAATGCCACAACTGTTGTCAAGATGACAGTTTCTGCATAAGCTGTTAGCTTTTATAGCTTTTTAAAAAATTCATCTGAAAGCTCTTCTGCACAAACTACTACAAACACCAGCAATTGCTGAACGTGCTCAGCATAATGTGATGGCTAGTCTATATGCTGGTTGAGAACTGTAGTTTTAGTTGCTAAGGTCTAACTCCAAGAAAATAGTGACCAAATGCTTCACTTTCCAAATTCTGACTACAATACCACTTACTTCAACCAAAATCATTGTACATGCAATGAAAAAATAATTTCATTCCAAACACTAGAGAGAGAGATCTATAGTACATGGAGATCTATTTTAGTACCTGGAGAATATTTAACATCCTTTCCAGGATTCAATAGCATGTACCGTGATGATTCTAGATAGCCTCAATTTGTTGTTTAAACAATAAAGATTTTCCATTGTAATCTACACTAATAACAGTGGCAGTAACACTGACAGTCCAGCTATGCTGCAATAAAAATAAACCTATTTTACAGGCTTTCTACATAATTTTGCCCTCCTGTTCTTCTACTATATGATAAAAATTTACTATTCTACTTCCTAACAGCATGGACAAGATTCTGGTTTTAGGAAGCCCAAGTATTCACTTCAGTGGCCTTCCTTTTATGATGACAGTAGGTGTCTGTTGCTATGTTGTGCCTAAGAAATGTACTCGGATTTCTAATCCTTCAACAGGTATAGCAGAATTGGTTGCATACTGTAACTATGTACAGGAGATGGATAGTTCATAAGGTAACAAGATGGGTTCTTCTCCTCAGAAATGAAAGCTTCTTCTCCTCAGAAATGAAAGCAACAGTGGGAGGAATGTGATTGTCTAACAGGTCACATGTATCCTATGATTCCATACTATAGTTCAAAATTTAACGAGCACTCCCATTATGTTCCTTCTTCCTCTCTTAAAGGTAGGAATGGATTGTTTTTCCATTTTTAACCACTCTTTTTCCCCTTTTGCCTTTTATTACACTTCTCCAAACCCTTTCAGTTCTCTGTCATGTTAAAACTTTAGACTACTCTTCACATTGTATGTTACTTCAAATAAGATGCATGTAATTTTATAGTCAAGGTATATTATTCAAACTGTCATAGCATATCGAGTCAAAGCTTTTTTGATTAAAGATTCAGAATTGGATGTCTTCCTCATGTATTTGTCTTCAAACACAATCCCTGTCAACAATGTAACTAAAAACGTAAAGCATTAACCTTGTCAAGATATTACTTTGCATATTCAAGCTCTAATTTGTATCAATAACTACTATCCAAGTCAATAGAATTTCCCTGAAGCTCCTACACCTTC